CCATTCTGAGTTTAGATGGCAAAGTTGTTCACTATAAACTTCTGAATGAACTTGATTTGGTTCTAACAGTTCAAAACGTCCTGAAACGGGGTTCCTCATCCATGCTGCTTTTTCCAACTTTAATTTTTGTAAACTATTTATGGGCAGTCCTTACACTAATAGTGTGCTCACCATGTACACTATTAATTTTTATAACTGCAAACCTGGCAGATTCACCACAAATAAAAAATTTAGCCCAGCACGTTTGTACCGATTATCTATATTCATCTTCTACAGGTACTAAAATGCTTTCGATATTTACGAAAGTTGATGATGAAGTGAATAATGTTAGTCAAACGATGACAAGTTTCAACAGGTTCAAAATTGTATTGTTTTAGTAAATGCGTCATAGTGAATTCCACGCATATTCTTAATAGGCACGAACTTATGGACTGGCCTGATAATACTAATTGAGCAGTATCATTTATATCAGTGCTTTCATCCATAGCTATGCAGCAAAATTTAAACTGGCCAATCTTTGACTCTAAATTGTTATGTAAAATTTTTATCCAAGTCTTCGATTCTAGAAGTCACCATATCTCGAGATAATTTTACAGTCTCAAAATTACTTTTCTTGTCTGGAAATAAATCATCACAAACTTGGAGCATGCATTGTTTAACGAACTCCCCATCATTGAGAGCTTTATTATTTTTAGCAATATTGTATGCTGCAACTTGTATGTGTAGCTGCTTCTTGGATACCGTTTATCTTCTTGAAAAAATTTTGTCGGCCTGATAATTTTTTACAAAGACTTTTTTGTTTTTTTTTCATATTCGGACATTGCTTCGTAATTGGAATTCTTACGCTTAGATGTGAAATGTCGGGAAATATTATATTCTTTGAAGATTGCTACAACTTCATTGCAGATGAGACACACTGGTTTATCTTTCACAACTGTAAAAAAAAAAGCATTTTCAAGTCCATTCATCATTAAAAGCACGACACTCTGAATCAACTTTACGTTTTCAGTAGCCATTTTGGGTTTGAAATACTTTACAAGCACTAACTATACTTTTAATAATTTCTCCACTATTCACAATGATGCTATATGTCCGCAATTTTTACATACGCAATCAATAATATTAGAACTAGCACCAAAAGGAAAAGCTGCTGGCTGGAGCTTAAAATGCGCAATTTGACCCATGTCAGGTCTAATTTACCTACTTTGGATTCCCATATGTCTGCTCCCTGAGAAAGAGATAAAGCTCATTGGCGCAAACGAGCTACAGCTATAACTAACAAAGAACGTCCGCTTTTAACACTTTACACATTGTCTGTGCTTGCTATTTCCGTCGATTTATGTTTTGTGGAGCAAAAATAGAGAAAGTAAAAAGATCATCAGCCATTTGAAAAAAAGGAAGAAAAATAATAATAATAAGTAGTAATAATAATAATAAATAAATAGAAAGGAAATGGGTATATAAATATATATATTTCTTTTAATTTGCCTCGGAAAGGCAAATTAAAATTCTATCCCCGGGCAGGATAGAACATTCCGGCGGGCCGTAGTTTGCCCATCCCTGCTCTATAGGGTTGTAAAGTAAAACATGCGGTAAGGAAATTCCTTACAGGTACAGATTCCATACAGGGAAGTTGAGAAAGAATTATCAGATTACAAATTTGTATAATTTTTGAAAATTAATAGCACAAAGCGAAATAAGTGCAGCAAATATTGAAACTTTTTCAGTTCGTCCCCACTGACCATACTCAGAAGTTATCTAATGTGAGGTGCGTAAATAAAATAATGAGACCGGAAACGTAGCTTTCGATCTGGCAGGCCTACCCGTCTGGAGGGAAATGTGGGGGAACATTCGATGCACAGCTAGTATGAGTTTAAAATCGCGTAGAGTCACGTAGTTCTACGTTTTTTAACTCCCAAAAAGCCAATTTTCCCAGAAGGACTATTAATTTCGTTTCGGCATTTTGCGTGGATTCACTACAAGCGTTGTTTCCCTTTTCAAATTGTTCCCACCAAATATTGTCGCCCTGTATTATATTTAAAGAAATTATATAATGAAGATTCTGCATCAATGTATGTTTGTTTCTCGCACTGTGATAAAATAACGGTACCTAGAGCCACCCAATTTTGAATGACGTAATCCTCCTCCGAATATGGACATCTGGAGCCCAAATTTGGAATTTGTTTTATTATCAATTTTTTATTTTTTAAAACTTTAACGAATTTTGACTTCCTTGTACGAAGTAAAAAGGAAGTATTGTAATCGCGAAAAGTTTCAGGCAGCATATTTCAACGAAAATATCAATTTTGACCGCTATCAAATGCAATTTAACGATGTTTTTGCGTGATATCTGTACGTAAGGACAGAATAAAATACTATTTTCCTTCAAAAAAATTGTAAAACTGCTTTAAAATTAATTCTGAAGAGAATTTTTCGTGGCATCTGTACGAACGTATGTACGTACGTATCTCGCATAACTCAAAAACGGGTAGCCTCAGAACGTTGAAATTTTGTATATAGGACTGCTATAACATGTAGATGTGCACCTCGTATTTTGGTTGCAATCGGCCGCACCAAACGTATATAAATACATTTATATATATATATCCACTCTATTACCCGGCTCAGTGATCTCAGTTTCTTTACTCTTCTAGGTTTGTAAATTGTACATTTGTTTCTTTAAAAATGATTGAATTATGTTGTTTTTATCTTCCGGTTAAGGTTATCTTCCGGTTAAGCCTTTAGTAAATCTGTGTGCAATAGTTTTAGAATTATCAGCAATTTTAAAGTTGTTTAATTGCCGCTAAGCCTGTTTTAATGGCGGCCATTGATGTTTACATTTGAAACAGGAGATAGTGGATTTGTTGCAATCTAGAGAAACTTAGCTTCGCAAACAACAAAGATAACGCATTCATTTATTATTGCCATTAAATCATGCTTAATTCTTTCTGAATTTTTTCGAGGAAATAAGCGTTTGAGATTTACTCGTAATTTTTAATATAGATATTTGAGTTTTATGTATTTTTGCCTTCTCGCGAAGTAAGAACTGAATAATTAAATGAGAAATACTCAATCGTTTGTGAAAAACTGTTTCTTTTTGTTTTATTTGCTTATTTCTTTATACATTTCTAGCTTATAGTTTCTTATAGTTCTATAGCTATTTGAATAGAACATGTGGCAACGATATATTCTTTAAATGAATAGATTTTGTAATTCTGAGTTATAATATGAATGAAATATAATACTGTTAAACTAGCGCCAGTGTCGCTATGGTAACAAAGTGAATTTTAAAGAATGCATTATTCTATTGCGGTTTATGCGCTGTCGGTGAAGTAGGTTTAATTCAATCAATAAGTTTAAATAAAATGCAGAAAAAAGCGTATAATTTAATATTCCGTACAAGGAAGTCATGTGGTGTACACATCAGATTTTTTATTAACAAACTCGAGGACTTCAAAGCGAACCATGGCAACGTTGTTCAGAAAAAACATTTTTATCTCCAGCGCGGCGAGACTGTGTATCGGAAATTCTAAAGATATTTTTAAACTATTTTTCGATATTGCTGTTGAACTGAATTTTATGGTTTAAGTACGAAGAACATGATATTTAATAAATAAAGGTAACACACAAAATGTTAAAAAAAAACACCCCTTTGGACGTAATTTAAAAATCTGAAACCTTCCGGGTTTTTTTTTTGGGGGGGGGGGAGCGGAGGGTGTAAACTTTTTTTTTTTTTCGGGTGGGGTCTGAAAAAGAGTGACACGAATTTTAACTACCTTAGGCTATCAGATTTTTCTTCTATCAGTGGATTTGTTTCTATCAGTGGGATAGAAACGTTTACAAAGTTTCAACAGGCCTATGTAGACCACGTTTTGTTAACAGTCCAAGTTTTCAGGAGATTTAACGCATTTTCAGTTCATCAGGGTGGTCGAGTACCACCCAAAAACGAAGCGACTGAGCCAGGAATGGAACACTTGAAGCTCACAAAGACCACAAAAGGCAAGAATGAGCAAGTCGAAAATCAAGAGCATGATTTTATAAAGGGAGTGAACCGTTTCCAAAGAGTTTGTGCTCCCAAGTCAAAGTCAAACGGTGAAGCAACACTTCTACCGCGACGTTCTTAAAAGACTTATGGTCATGCGGATGAGAACAAGAAACAGAGCCCACTGACCATTCCGACATTGCACCTTGTCGCATTGCATTATTCAGTTAATGAGTTTTTGGCTAATAGAAACTTCTCTGTGATTCCTAAGCCCCTTTATTTCATGTAACTTTTATCTGTTCCTAAGCCTGAAAAACCATTTTAAAGAACATCATTTTGACCCGCTAGAAAGCAATAAAATAACCCTAATCCACCAGCTGAAGGCAATTCTAGTATACGATTTCCAGCACTGCTGTGAAAAATGGTAAAACCGTCTCCAACGCACTGTAGTTTCCCAAAGTTGATTAATTACTTTAAAGAAGACAATGTGAGATTGTAAGTTTAATTGAATAAAAATTTATAAAGAAATCAAGTTCTTTATTTTATTTATAGCCCTAGTATGTCATTTGATACAAGTAGGCTAAATAAATTTGAAGAGGGTGCTAAGCTTCTCCCCCCCCCCAAAAAAAATATCTGGGCAGTGAACCAAGAAAGGTTGTGAAACTATGGTGTATAGCAAGGATTGTCAACTCTTTTTGCCCTTTCACCACTGCTAGATGATCACCCCCCCGTTTCCCCAACTCAAAAAATAAATTTATATATTTATCTACATTTAGATGATTTTTCAATATTTTTTATAAATTATACAATAGCAAGTGCAGCAATCTTTGATAAATACCAAACTTGAATTTAAAAAAAAAGTTTTTTATATTCATAAACTAAAACTAAATACTTAACAGATAAATTAAAGGCTGATCGTACCCCCCTGAAACCATGAAATTACCACCTGATTGAGAACCCCTGGTTTTATAGCAAGCATTCAATGTTCGCCTTTAATAATGGAAAGGTCCTATCTTACCTTCCCCAGTGAGTTGGTTCCTTGGATAACTGTTATGTACACAATTATCCACGTCGCTAACAAGCATAAGAATAATTTCCAGCTTACAGCCAACTGGTCGTCGTTGCCACTGGATTTCAACAAAATTTCTTGCCTGAAAAATGTTTAGAATAAAAATAAAGGAATAAACCCACTAAGCGATATTTTGTCACAAGAAATGAGAAAAATATTTTAGAAGTATTCTAATAAATGTAAGGTTAAATAATTCAGCTTGAAGGTAAAAATAATAATTTTAAAAGCTTTTATTTGACATGATTGAACATGCTTCCATGAAATATCTTGAAAATTCGTATAACATATGTGCTAGCTGCGCCGAATTTTATCATACTGAAGCACAGGCAAATTCATTAAAAATATTTTTATACATTATATTTTCCCAGGACTCGGTGTGTCCACATTTGCTAACACGGCAGATAAATTTCATTCCACACATGTCGGAATATCATGGCCAATTAACTCTACCACATCGATCGTTCGCCATATATTGTAGTTCGATGATTCTTGGAGATCAGGGCCAGATTAACTCGTCCTCTGTATCATATGTTTCTATTAGCACTTATTACTCATATACTATCATATGTATATTTGTCTACCTTAATATTTATTTGCACAAATTGTTTTATTCGTATTATATCTGCTTTGCTATTAGTATCATATCAGCTCTGCACCATGTGTATTTATTGGCATCATATTTACTTTGTACCAAGTGTTTTTACTCGTTCTTCACTTGTACTGCATCTACTCATCACTATGTCATTTAATTACCCTCTATATTTGTTCTGCATCATGTATATATATTAATATCATATTTGCAACTGCATCATGTGTTCCAATCGCATGACAGCCTAAGTTCGTGCGCTATGAGTTGTCTAATCATAAGTTTTTTTTTTTTTTTTTTACACATATACTATCATATGTATTATCTGAAACACCAACTGTTTACCCCAAATATTTATCTGCATTAAATATTTCATTTGTATTACATCTACTTTACATCATGCGTTCCTATTAGTACAATATATGCTCTGTACCATGTGAGCCTATAAGCTATTTATCTGTTCTGTATCATGTATATTCATTAGTATTATATCTGTCCTGCATCAAAGGATTTTAATCGTAGCATTATACCTGCTCAGCGGCATGTGGCCTTTTTCTTTTTTTTTTCATATCTGATCTGCATCATACGTGTTCATTAGAACTTAACCTGCACTGCATAATGTATTTTCATGTATCTCTTATTAGTAGCATATCTGCCCTATTACGTTTTTTAATTAGCTCTACGTTTGCTCTGCATCATATGTAGATATCAGCATCATACTTGCTCTGCATAAAGTGTTTCTATCGCGTGTTCGCCTAGGCTCGTTGCACTATGAGTTGTCTCATTAAAATATTACTACACACATACTATCATGTTCTAACACCAACTGTTTACCCTAATATTTATTTGTATCATATGCTCCTATTTGTATTATATCTGCTTTGCATCATGAGTTTCTATTAATAGAATAACATATGCCCTGTACCATGTGTGCCAATCAAGTTATTTATGTGTTCTGCATCATGTGTTTCTCATTAGTATTATCTCTGTTCCTGCATCATGTGCTTTTAAATAGCATCCATCATCTGCCCAAAGTCATGTGTTTTTATCAGTATTATAGTTGCCCTGAATCATGTCTTTTATTCATTAGCTCTAATATTTGCTCTGTATAATGTGTATAATACTATTAACATATTTGCTCTGCATCATGTACTCCTATCATGTGTTAGCCTAGGTTCATGCACTATGAATTGTCTCCCCATAAGGTATTACTTACTCATATACTACCATCTGTTTCATATGTAACACCAAGAGTTCCATTGCTAATAATTATTTGCAACTTATGTTATTATCTATCTTAAAACTGCCCTGCATCATGTGTTTTAATTAGTATACACGCGTGCTTTATATCTGGAAATGTTACACGCGTGCTTTATATCTGGCAATGTTACACGCGTGCTTTATATCTGGCATGCACCATGTGTTTTCACTAGTATCACAGCTTTATCTCTGCTCTGCATCCTGTGATCTTACCAGTTTTATTACACGTTTTTATATGTCACATAGTATTACATCTGTCCAGCATTATATGTTCTAACAGCATCACATGAATGCATTATTAGTACTCTACTTAGTAGTCTGTGAGTATGTTCTGTGTATTTTAAGTGTTTTTATGTGTACTGTATGGTCTAAATGTTATTCAATGTTGTTATGTGTATTATGTCTTACATTATTATGCCCCCCCCCCCCCCTCTTTTTTTTTTTTTTTTTTTTTTTTTTTTTTTTTAGATTTCCTGTAACCACTGTAATCCTAAAACTTTCAAATGTCATACACATCACTCGTAATGTAGACTATGTCAACCGCCCTTGTATGGCCATGTAACTTTCTCATTAAGATTCAAATATACTCCCGAGGCAGCCTGATGAGGCTCCAGGGAGTTGTTGCCACTAGATAGTGGAGGACGCGGGGCATATGCCTGTTTACCTATGTTAAACATCAGGCGCCCTCGTCCTCCGTCACCTGTCACCTGCTTGTTGCAAATGTCTGAAACAAGCTAAATATGGTATGAATTGTTTTACAAAATAATTACATTAAGAATTTGGACTGTATTGGGAGATGAGGGGGGAAAATCTTGTAATAATTAAATCATAAATTTTTAAAAGAATAATATATGATTTTATTAGATATATTAGTGTAAATGTAAGTATTATGTGATTTTCTAATGCATATTTTCTGTGTTTATGATACATCAATTTAAAAAAAAAAGAAAAAGTAATAATAATAATGTAAGACTCCAGTGCTGAAGCAATTGTGTGTAACAAGTTAGAAAATGAAAGGAAATGCATTAACAAGATAATTTGCCTTGAATACAACTAAGTACAATGAGATGCACACAAAAAAATTCTTCCCCAATTAGTTCCTTAAAAAGATGTTTATTGTAATTCGATGCAATTAGATATATTAATGTAAACATATTGTTTGTACGAAGTATAATGTTCGATATACAATGAAAGTTTGTATGATGTATTTCGAAGTAATTATGTTATATTAATTTGCCATAATCCAACTTTTGTTAATAGGTTAACTTCTTTGTAATAATTGTATACTGTTTCTTTGTAATTGTATATTTAATACGTAAGTCTAGTATTAATGTAAAATTTCTATGTAAATGTCTTGTTAGGTTGGCATCCGATGCGGGCCAACCGAAAGCCCAGCGGGTACAGTAGTGCGGAGGAGCAATACCTGTAAACGTCACTGACGAAGTTCTGGTGCTCCGTCCACTTTTCCCTGTCCCTGCTCGTTCTGTGTGTCCTAGTCATCTTGTGACAAACATTGATTCGGATACTTTTCTCTGCCTCTGTGGCAGATTTTGACTAAAATACTTTCGCAAATGACCTTGATAACGATCTATGTTGCAGTCATCCAGACAACTGAATTATTCAAAGAGGTAATTATTGTTGTTCTCATTCAACTGTGACATCAGCCAGCTTTCCAATATTTCCAAATAAAAATTCCCAGTATCGCACAACTGTTTGCCGTTTCAGCAAATATGGACACGTTGAGAGCTTGTGAAACGTAACTTACAGGGTTTATGTAAACGACCAGTTCTGTAATTGTTTTTAAGACGAAATATATTTAAAAAGTGGATTAATACTGAAGTTAAAATAGTACTTTTGCTAAACTGTGGTTTTAAATTATATTTAATGAACATACATAATAACATATTTTCTTTATATTCAACGAAAGCCATTATTTATATTTATAATTTCAAGTTGTAAATTTAAAAACATTCATGGAATATGAATATATTATACCAGTTTAACTGCGCACATTTCAGAACATTTAATTGTAATAATGAAAACTGATGAAAATTACCCTTTATGAAGGCAGAAGATGTACACCTTACACGCAAACACACACACACAAAAAAAAGCTTATGTGTACACCACATGACCTCCTTGTATGGATTTTTTCCTGCGTTTCATTTAAACTTATTTCCTCGAGTTTCATTAGAGATATATTTCTCATTCAATTACACTCATGTCCCGAAATTAAGGATAATGCAAAATCAGGCAAAGGAAGAGTTAGAAGCAAAACAAATTTGACTTATTTGTAAAGCTTATTTATTAAACAAAAGGTAAAGAGCAAAAAAGATGCTATATGTTTGATACTATTAAAAAAATTAGCAATTTTTCACCCTGGAGCAAATTAAAAAAAAAACCTATTTACAAAAAACCAATATTACATGGTTGCTAAGATAGTTAATACATTGTATGTCTCCCAGACGATGCGATACAGTCCGTACAACGCCTAGGCATGCTGAGTATCAAATTATCGATCTGATCTTGGGGGATATTACACCACTCAAAAAGCAATGCTCTCCGAAGTTCCGCTACACATGTAGGAGGAGGTTCACGGGCTGCAACTCGTCGGCAAGCATATCCCGCACGTGCTCTACTGGATTCAAGTCCGGTGAGAATGCTGGTGAGTCCATACCGGTGATATCCTCCCATTGAAGGCATTCGCTTACGATGTTTTCACGGTAAGGACGGGCATTGTCATCCATAAACACAAATTGTACGCCCATGGCGCCCCAAACAACGTACATGTTGTTCCAGAATGACGCCCCGATAGATTTGGCTTGTCGTGGTCCTAATTTGAACATGCAAGTCAGTTCTGAAACCCAGAATAATTCCACCCCAAACGAGCACTCCTGCACCACCGTAACGGTGTCGTTCAATGATGTTTTCTTGGTGGTAACGGGTACCTGGAGCTCTTCATATGAAAGTCCGGCGAGAATCAGACTGCAAGCTAAACCTGGACTCGTCGGAAAGCATCACACAAGCCCACTGTTGCGGTGTCCCCAATGTATGCTCTCTACTCCAGGCTAACCGCAGGCGACAGTGAGTTGCAGTAAGTGAAACGCATCTGACAGGTCTACGAACATATAGACCAATCTGCCCTAAGCGTCTGTACACGGTCTGCCTTGAAATTGTCGTACCAGTGGCTGAAGAGAACTGACGAGACAGGTCTGAGGCTGTGCTCCGCCTGTTTCTTTTGGCAGTAACTGCCAAATACCGGTCCTCATTCGGCGTCGTAACTCTGGGGCGACCTGTGCAGTAACGTCTACTCACATTACCATCATCTTGAAATCGTTGCCAAAGCCTGGAGATGACACTCTGGGCAATTCTAAGTTCGTCTGATACTTCCAGTTCGGTACGCCCACATTCCAGACGGCCGATAATTCTACCACGTAAAAAATCATCCAAATGCGTTCTTTGTGTCATAATTATTCGGTTATTGCACTGAAATGCTTATAAAGCGCCTGCGAACAATTTTACTTCTTTGCCTGTATTCCTTATATACCACTCTCTTACACTCTCGTCCTTGTGACGTACCATCGGTGTCATCTGGTTACTTTCTGAAATTTGCATATGATTCTTGAAGATGTGTGTAGTGATTTTACAGGTGATATATTTATTTTAGAGTTCGATTTCCACGTGACTCAGAGTTATCCTTAATTTATGGACATGAGTGTAATTCAGTTATCACTTCGAGGCGAGGCAAAAATACGTAAAAAATCAGAATATTTTCATTAAAAATTAGAAGATATAGAAAAACATAAAACACCAAATACCATAAAAACAATTTAAAAGAATTTTACAATTAAAATTACAGTTTCTACTCAAGATCAAGCAATTTGCCCAGCAGGCAAGAAGGCAGATTTTTCGGTGTGCAAAACTCAAAGTTTCCTTTTGGTCCCACTCGGCAGAAAGACACTGAAGGTACAGAAAGAAGGAATTCACTGTTATGCTCAATTTCAAATGTAATCAAATACGGCTGCTATAGTAAAAGAAAATTAGGCTTAGCCGCAATTAAATAACTTTTAAATTATTGATAATTCTACAAATATTGCATGCAGATTAACTAAAGGCATAAAACCTTAACCGGAAGATAAGAACAATATAATTCAATCATTTTCAAAGCAAAAAAATGCACAATTTATCAACATATAAGAACAAAAAAAAAAACTGAGCTCATGGAGCCTCGTAACAGAATGGTTATATATATACACTTTTGGTCTGGCCGATTGAAACCAAAAAAGGGAGTTTCACAACTACATGTTATAGCAGTCCTATATACAAAATTTGAGTAGTCTAAGGATACTCGTTTTTGAGTACGCGAGATACGTACATACATACGTACAGACGCCACGAAAAAAATCTCTTTTGAATCCATTTTAAATCTGTTTCATAATTCGTTTAGGGGGGAAAAGAGTCCTTTATTAGTCCAGATGTCACGCAAAAACATCGTTAAATTGTATTCGATGGCGGTCAAAATGGATATTTTCGTTGAAATATGATACCAGGAATTTTTCGTGACTACAATACTTCCTTTACTTCGTACAAGGAATTAGTAAAAAGAGGGATAGTTCTATTATCTTCCGATCTACTAAACCAATTTAGTAAATTTAACATGTGTTTTTCGTGTCTCGAAAGCACAACTTAGGATATATACTAGCTTTATACAGAGCAATGTTCTTAGTATAATATATTTATTAATATCTCTTTTTTTATTGAATTTATTTTATTCGTTCTTTTACAATTCTAAACTTAGATTCAATCCAAATAAAATTCACAGATATTCTGTAATTTATTTTTTTAATTTGTATTTTTTGTAACCTTTTATAAAATGTTCGAAAGTTTTTTGAGTGCATTTCCTATATGCATTTGCATATAGTATTGCATAACACTTAGCTGGTAAGACATTTAATGACACGTTCATTTAGCCGACATGGACAATAAGCCGACAGCGCATTTAATGGACAACACGTTTAGCCGATAGCCTGTTTAGCTGACAACACGTACACTTACACAAAATCAAGCGACAAAGTTTTAGCAAAATTTGTCCACATTTATTCGAAACTATTTTATCTTTCTATCAGTTACAAAACTTCTTAAATTCTGAATAAGTTAAGCTCCATTTTTTCTCTTATCAGTAACATTCGTTGCTCGAATTTCCAGTCTTAAAAATACCATCTCTGATCTTAAGCCTTGTTGAGTTTTAGCATACATTATTAACCTGGTTTGACATATTTATATATCATTCAAACTGAAAGAGTGTTAAAAGACAAAAATGTAGTGTTTGTCCATAATCCTTGTCCTTGCGCACTCTGGAAGAGGTCTTTTGTCGGATAAATATGGACAACTTTTACTAGAATTTTGTCTTGTGTTTTTGCCTAAATTGTGCTCAGCTTGCTAAACGTGTAGTCGTTATATGTCTTGCTGTCTATTTGTCGTGACGGCTAATTGTCTTGTTGGCTAAATGTAGAGTCAGTTAAACATCCCCTTGGCTAAATGTTACCGAACGTTGAATGTATGTAAATCAATTTAATACTGATTCCGATTGTCACAGATATCCGTCATCAAATAATTTCTTAAATGTTATAGATCACCCATATTATAATAGGTACTTTATTGTTGCTTTTATCCAGACAAATCCCCTAACTCTGTAACTCTGTAAGTCTCGGTACCAGGGGATAAAACACTAGCCTGGCGGTTCCAGAGGCGCTGCGAGTGTTGCGAAGTGCTGCAATCCCATCGTAGTCTCTAGTCGCCGGGAGTGGTGACTCCGGTTGGTCAGCGTTGAGCGGAGGTTTATGAGAAAAATTTGTTAAAATTCTGCTTTCTTGAATTAGAGTTCCTGAACGTGTAGCATGATCAGCATATTTCTATCATCTTTAGGGACCTCTGCTGGCGACCCATCCCCTGCCTGGTATGGGGCTTGCATATAGATGGGACGATCCGTGTAGCGTTGACATTTAAGAAAGCGGAAAGCGTAGACAAACAAACTTACTTATTTATCCAAACAAAAGTGCACAACAGGTGATGAAATAAATCACCTATTATGCGATAGGTGGTTTATTGTTTATTTTTATTAAGCAAAAGATTCGTGTTTCCCTATGCGAGATTACGTTTAAAGTCGCATTTATGAAGAATGCTTATTAACTTCCCTAGAGTTCATGTCGTAATTGAAACTTCTGTAAATACACGCCACTTTGAAATTGACAACGGGAAAGAAAAGAATAACGACTAAATTATTATTTTTGAATTGGAACAGAATTTTTTCCGTCATTAGAACGGGAAAAACTATTGGTCCATAATGTGAGAAGTAAAGTCTCTTGTCAATTACAATAGCTCTGAAACCTTGATTGCACGAAAACAATGCATGCAGTTTTACTTGGAGCTTCATTTTTTCACATTTTTATAGGAAATTCATTATCTGCGGCTATATAATTTTGCGCATTGGTTGGAATATCCTGTGTCGATTAACTGCAGTGCAACCGTTCTCCTTTTTCTGGCTAACCGCAGCTCTTTGGTTTCTCATCATGCCATAGAAATTGTTCAATGAAACACGATTCTTTTAATCAGAATCCTCGAATCTCTGATAATATTCTAACAAGTGTAGATATTTTGTTTGTTGCCGACACATAATAGTACAATGACGTAAATAATTCTTGCAAAGTGTTACTGTTGATTATTACTGTTTAATTCGCCAAAAGCAAAATTAGCTATTAAAAGTTTTTTGGTATGTTATGTAACTGCTGGGATCGAAAGCATGATTGGTTTATTTGATTGGCTTTTGTTGTTGTTTTCCGAATACGACAGGAAATCATATTCCACCCTTGTTCTCCATTTTTTTTAAAAAAGCTTGATTTACATAAATCCTATCTTTCAATTTTTCGTCTCTAAATTTTTCACTTATTGAATATCATTAAGTTTGATATTTATACTTTGCAAATTTATTTGCTTTCGATTTAAAAATGAATGGCACTTTCTCTCTCTCTCTCTCTCTCTCTCTTTTTTTTTTTTTTTTTCCTTCCCTACTTACTCTCCATAATGTAGCGATATCGATCCAATTTTGCATTTTTACTTCAAAAATATTTAACTTAAACACGCACACACATTATACTTATATACTTGTAATGATAGAGACAGAGCTGTAAGGATGTTTGATAGCTAATTTACATATATATTGATCCTTAATACAGATTAAACTTTGCAGCCGAGGCGGATTAAATATTCATTTTTATTTCAATTGACATTTGTGGCCACAATTCAGTTTGCAGTCTAATCGTGCCTGATACATTTACATTTTTATAGCTTTTTGATTGTTCGACCTGAGCTCATTTCCAGTCAAACGGGCTAGCTGTATGGGAGTTTGAGTTCCCCCCCCCCATGTGCAAAGTGGATGTTAGCCAGTTTTCCATAAAATGTCCTCCACGAAAGCATTCCTTCCCTTCAGCAGATAGCCCTAGCGTGCTTTGTCATAATCAAGTAAGCCAGAATTAACCTAAGATGGATTTACCCCCAATATTTTGACAAGTATTGGTTGGATTTAAATTTTAAAACAATGCAGCAAATCTTTGAAATTATGCAAAAAATCAATTTCCTAAAAGAAAAATACTTTTTTAAAAAAAGTTTGGTAAACATTAACATACAAAGTATTATTATTATTAATGTTATGAAGCTTTCAAATACCAGCTGAATTGCAGCTCGTTGAATGTTACGAAACATGACATATTTAGTTAGACTTCTCAACGTAAGAGACATGAAAATTTGTTGTGCTCTGGTCGAATTTTCAACTGCTCGTATGGATGAGCAACTTTTGAATAAATAGGAATTTTTCTGGTTAAAAATTGACGGCTGCAATGTTTGCAGTCTAGCAGAAAAAAAAAATATCGGACTAAAAGTCAACCATGATAAATGATGTAACATCAATAAATTGCTGTTTTTTGGATACACTGTTTGGGTTACGTAGAATTTATGAAATTTTATGATTATCATTGTCATATTATAAGAAATCACAGCTAGAAATTTGTAAGTTTGTTTTTCATATTTTCTTATCGTATAGCTAAAATAGTACTTACATCCAAAATTGTTCTGAGGGCGCTAATAAGTCTTCGGCAGAACCATTCTGAAAATTAAAAAATTTTAAACTATTCTTAAATGTTTGTAAAATATTTGTTAAGAAATAATCGGATATATTTACATAATATCCGAAATCATATTCATAAGCATGATCAATTTAAGTTACTGCATAATGAAACATAGAAATGATTCATTATAACTGAAAATATTTAAGTTGAAACTAATGTATTTATTACAATTGAAAACTTTTATTTGAAAATATATCATTTGTAATTAATTTAACCTGGAAGTACTATCATATCAGAAAAGTAATAAAAACGATTAACGTACCAGAATACCTTTATATCTGTACACAATGATAAAGGACTTTCCGAAATTCCCCTCTGATTTACTGTTACAAAAATTTATCCCCCCCCAAAGTGAAGAATTTCTGTGATGTTTTCAGCGAATTTTATGTCATTACCGTGCTTAATTATCAACTTATCAACGCAAAAAAGTTATATATCTACATCCTGCCTTTTAATTCCTGTGCTTTTTATTACAAAAACTATAGCGCTGCTATTTTCAGAATGTCCAAAATCGTGCTAATCTGTTTTATAAAGATTATTCCAATAAAAATGATACAGGATTTTCAAGAGAAAATGTAACCGTATTTAATACACTTCCATTTGTAATTTACAAGAGATGCACGAGAAGCACTGACATTTGTAAAAGGTTACTCTATGGTGTGGTTTATACCACAGTGCCAAACATGTGACCATTTTTTTAATACCACAGAGGATATGCAGTTGTAGTGACTAGTGAGAGATAATACTGATTGATGATAATAAATTCTTGCGGGCGAATTTAGAGGACTTTGATTTGGAGCATATTCGGTTCCAATAAAACGGTTGCCGCACATCACACTGCTAATGTCACTATCGATAAATAGCTAAAAATGTTTGATGGAAGGATAATTTCACGAAATGTAGATATTGGTCTCCCAGAAGTTGTGTTTTAACTTTTTTAGATTATTTTTCGAGGTTTATTTGATCCACATAAATACCACTTCAGACTTTTATTTATTTATTGCAATTATTACCTCGAAAATCACCTTAACACAAACTTTTGCATAGGGCGAATGGAACTGATCTAACATTACTTAGAAACAGAATTCACTTCAGTTTTATTTACCCACTTCCCCGTTTTTTTTTCCGAGATAGACTCGTTGATTTAAAGAATGTTGTTAAGCGCCATGTGGTCCGGATCGTTAAGCCATGTGGCCTGAATCTTAGATGATATTTCTTTCGTTAATATTTAGGGACTCCACGCCATAATGACAAGAAGGTACCGGCACCATTCAGAAGTTCAGTGTCCTGAAACACTCATCAATTCTGTTGGAACACCCAAGTGAAGGTGTTAATTGTGGCAGACCGTCGTCAACTTGTACAAAGTGCCGGAACATTTCTCGACTTGACCATTGCTTGCCACCAAAAGAGGGAGCCTAGCATAAAAGCACAAATATGCCGGAACCGTTACGAAGTTCGGTATCAGGAAGAAAGCAACCTTCATTAAAGGTTCCGGGCCAATCATGTAAAAATGTTAATACTGGCAAACAGTCGACTACTTGCATAAAGTTGCCAGCATCTTTATAATATTTTATGAAAATATCTCGTCGTGAAAATTCCGTGCTTTTATGCAATACAGTAAATAATTAGATCCAACAACTAATTATTAATTTGAGACGAGTTAACGACGACAGGGTTGATATATTGAGTTTAATACGATTATTATTAGTTTACTGTCTTTCAATTTTTTTTAGTGTCATTAAATCTTTTTCTATGAGCTCATCGTTCTTTGCAGCAAAAATTCTGCAATTCTAATTACTATTTCACCTTTTTTAATCCATTAGTATTAAGTAACGAAGCAGCAGCATAGGCAGCGGCACCTCAGGACATTTTCAGAATTTCTCATAATCACATTCGAACTTGTCTCGTGCATTAGTCGGTTACTATTCCAGTAAATCCTCATGCACACCACCAACATTCGATATCTGCCTTTTATCGACTAATCATATTTTCGACGTCAGCAGATCAATGAAACGAGGCCATAAACCTGGATTGCTTCAGCTTCATTTCTTGGAAAACCCATTAAACGCATAATGCAAAATGCAGCAAAAATTAACGCGAGACGAACAAATGTTGTCTGGAGAATTTCGCATATAAAATTCTCGAGAACTTTCGCAGGTAAAGAAATAAAAGCCATCGTAACACTCTCTTCACGAAAACAGAAAATAAAAATAAAAAATAGAGAGCATTAATACGAACAGAAAGGCAAAAGAAATTGCAAATTTCTTCTTTATAAAAAACAAACTTCCGAACAGCTTCTATGGCTGTCGAACGGTAGTGGAAAACAAAGGCTGATGTTGTATTTTTGGCGATGCTTCGGCAAGGGCCAGCTGATACACAAACTCAAAATAATTTTTAAAAGTTATACGAATTAAAAAAGGAAAGGTAGAAATAATCGCAATTTTTACCTGAGAAACTGTGTGGTTAGCATAAGCACAATCTGTCCATGGCAGGCATGATTGCATTGAGGAAAAAATGTAAAAAACGCTGAGGGCCATCAAATAGTTGTAGAAAACAAGAATGAATGACACTGAAATGACTTGGGCGTAACCGACTCCTAAATAAAAAAATTAAAAAAATACATGGCAAATAAGTGAAAAATATTTATGAAGAAAATCACAAACTTAATCCGTCACGATGAATAGGCGAGGAAAAGTAGATATACTTTGACATATTTTTCATTGGTAAATAAATTCACTAAAAACAAAAGCAAAGCATTTCTTGCACAAACGAAGTAACTTCGAAAGATAAAAATCTGTTGGGGAAATAATCAGAATAGTATCGAGGATAAGGCACTATTTCATATTCTAAGTGTTGATTTCCTGTGTAGCTTAGACTACCGTATGTGGTCGGGTGTTTTCCTAAAGCAAAAAACAATCCATGTCCATGAAAAAGTGTTAGTTGCTAAAGGCCATTTTGTCACGCATTTCCCGCATATCTGAACAATATGGAGTTGCATTTATTGTTTCACATTGCGGAAGGAATGAGTAATCAGTAACAGCAGAAGAATATCATTATACAGTAATTCGTTACAAATATTAATTTGGAGTCCTTCCTGGAACATCCTTCGCTCGCAACTAATACGACGAAACGTGTACAATTATTGTAGAATGCCCAATTCTCATCCACAGTCACAATTCGTTGCAGAAACCTTTGTTTTCCATATCTGCTTAAGAAAGAGTAGCACATTTCCAAACGCAGTGTTTTGTTTTCAGTGTGTTCTTGAGACACCCACTTTCAAGCTTCCTTACTCTTAATCATTCTTAAGTGCCGTGAAACAGTTTAAATGTGTATATGTAGTTCTTGGGCGAATCTGTCCTACATTTTGCCGTAGATCTGATTAGGTTAAATCCTTTAAATTGAAGGGGGATGGTGCACTAGTGGAACGATTCCATTGCAGTGACTGGCAGCTGAATGGTTTGCGTTTAGGTTAGGTTGCGCGTAAACTACAGACTGAACTAAAAATACATTTATTATATATCTACGAGAAGCTCTATTAACAATATAATAAACACAATTCTCAATGAATATTAAATGCATAGAAGTGGTTAATTGAAAGTTATTTTCTTCACCACTATGTGAGGATCTTTCTAGCGGCAAGACTCCCTCTAGACGACAGTTTCAGAGCGTTCTGGGTACTTACTCTGTGTAGAACGTTCTGAAGACCGAATTAATCATACCGTTTTAATTTTGCATTTGTAACAGTTCAAAAACTGCGGGTTATGAAAGGACCGCACACACGAATCTTTGTGTGGTCCTCCGCTAATTCATTTGAATAAGTGGAGGAAAGACGATGGGCACGCAGTTTACCTTGTAGCCTCAAATCTTCTGAGCAAAACTGTTCACGCCTCTTGTGAGCTGTTCCTCCACAAAATAATTATTTGATGTTTTTTACTGAGGCTACTGCAGAGATTTCCAGTTGAACTCTTTAAGCTATAGACACCTTAACTGACTGCGTTTTCATGATTAACTTGATATTGATAATATTTTATATTTAATGCTCTTCGAGCGAATGAAGTTGCATCACCCATATGAGCTGTTTTCACATTGCATAAAAAATTTCCATAAACCTCAGAGGAGCCATTTTCTTCAGCAACCAATAGAAAACCTCATTTAATGATCGTTTCATTGCAATACCTAATAATTTTATGCAAAATGATTTTCCAAAATTTGTACTTGCCATATTTACTCGAGTAATCCCCCACTTTTTTAAACTAATTTCACGATCTTAAAATCGAGAGAGAGAGAGGGAAATTATGCGGTATGTACACAGTTTTCTGAAGTTAGATAAGGATGATGTTACATAATTAAAAAGAGTATATTACTGTTAGTTATTATCTGCAATACTGCGTATATATTACTATTATTATTATTCAGCATTTTACATTGTATTACATAATTTAACACTTCATGATTAATCTCTAGATATTTCCTGAATTGCAGTCCGTAAAAGTACCTCTTCATTTGGAATTCGCCCTTGCTATAAAATTTGTGTAACTACTAATCAGACTTGATTCAATTTCAAACTTTTTATCGTACCATTTCTTTATCATAGCCTGGTACACTTCGCACCCTTCATTCTGGTACATTATAATATTTTTAAGTTAAATTTGCCAGTGTAAGTAATGTACCATTGCTCCAAGAAAGTTAAAAGTTTTACCGACTCACTTGAATTCATAATAACGTTTTTAAAAAATTACTGTAATTAGCTTGAACACTGTATTTCAAAAGTGCCCGAAGTTTTCTTCCGTAAAAACGACACGATAGCACGGAAATAACTTTAAAATGTGTGAGCAATTCCCATATATGGTCACTGATGATGTTAGAATATTCTGTGGTAAATAATCAACGGAAATAATCTCATGGAGATAGAGAAAAGGCTAACATTCAATCATTGCAATTACTTTGTATAGGATGTCCTAACAAAAGCGCCAGATTTAAGAGGCCCCCATAAACACTTTATTTTTAGAAAATGGAAAATATTTTTACATGCTTGAATAAGCACATGCTCCAGTTTAAGAACGTCTTGTTGGATTTGACCTGACAGCATTGGTATGCTATCACTGTCAGTTTACTTCGCAAATTTATTGTAGCTTAGTCGATACGGAATGATAGGCAAAGAAACAGCAAGTTCTGATTGTAAAAACTCATCACAAGAATGGTAAGTGTTATGCACAGACTGTTAGGAAGCTTTGTGCAATCTTTGGCCGTGAAAGTGCTTTCCTAGTGAAATTACAGTTTACAAATTTATAAAGACATATTTGGTCCCAGGTTCGACAGCAGACATTAACATCTTATTCAACAGCAGACACCTTGCTCAACGCTCTCGATCCAGTCGGTCTGCTGAAAATATCGCTGTTGTACTGGCAGATATGTGAGAAAGTGATTAGAGTTTCACTGGCAGAGTGCGGTGCTGAAATGAAGTCGAGGAGAACATAATTTTTCATTCTTAAATCCGAAATTTACCACCTTCGAATATGTTAAAATAATTTTCATTTTATAAAAATAAAGTACTTAATTGGGCGTATTAAATCCAGCTTTTGCTCGGACGCTCTTCACTTTTGAAAGAACGAGGAAAATCTGTTTCCACAGAATATAAAGATGACTTGTACATCAGAGTACAAATCTTATTTATACTTTGTGGAAACAGACTATAAAGATGAAACAAGTATAAAGACCACACAGTATAAATATAATTTCTACATCAGAGTACAAATCACGTTTATATTCTTTGGAAATAGAGTATAAAGATGAGACAAGTATAAAGACCACAGATTAAACAGACTATAAAGATGAGTATAAATATGAGACAAGTATAAAGACCACAGAGTATAAAGATGGCTTGTATATCAGAGCGCAAATCATGTTTATAGTTTTTGGAAACAGACTATAAAAATGAGTATAAAGATGAGACAACTATAAAGACCACAGATTATAAATATGACTTGTACATCAGAGTATAAATCATATTTATACTCTGTAAATCTCAGGATAATGTTCTACCTTAACAATATCAAGAGGAATCCATGCATTGCTCGTACCATCCATTTGTATCACAGGTTCTTCTCCATGCAATGTTGAAAACGAATTTAAATTTTAATGTTTTAAATACAAAATTTTGATTAGTGTGAAATAGTTACCGCTTCTATTTAAGTATTACAACAAAACAAATTATTACAACTATTACAACAAAAGGCTGCTATTTAAAAATAGCAACTGTACATGATAATAATAAATGTCTAGAAAAAAGAGTTTAGAAAATCTGTTATTTTTTTTTACTTTCATTTGCGGATAATATTAAAAATTTAGAATGTTACCTTTAAATGCAGGAACAATCCTCCACATTTTGATAGGACCTTGACTGCAAAACTGACCCAATATAAGCTCTAAGTAGTATAGTGGTCTGCCAATGATAAACAGGAGCAGTAAATAAGGTATCAGAAATGCACCTATTTATGGAGAAATATCATGCGTGAACATTAAAAATGTATTACTCACTCTCTTATAGCGAAATACTCTTGAATATTTACTAAGCTCTACCAGTAAATCTTAACTGAACTTTCTGTAGTCACTTGGTATGATACTGTACTTAAAGCAAAAATATTTGCACTAAACTATAAGAAATATTGATATTAGCAGATTTGTTTTTTTCATTCAACAAAATAAAGAAGTGACGCAGAGAGTAACCCAATTGAATTTAAGGGGATTCATACCTTTTGAAGGATTATTTTATATGAAAACTTTCACCTATTACTTATGAATATTATTAAGTGGTTTTGTAGCAGAAAATGATTTTAAGCTGAAAAAAATGCTTTTGCCAGTAATTTTTTTTATTTAAATTTTTTGAAGAAACATTTAACAATTAAAATGTCTTTCTTTAATTAATTTTCAATGTTTTTGCCCCAAATTTTTTATTGTATTTATTAGAGCGTTCTTAATAATTTAATTTTAATTATTGATTTTGCAATCAATGAGTTCGTTTCTGAGGAAAAAAAAGCACATTTTTGTAGGAAAAGTTTGAGAAAAATATGATCTATATCACATTTTCACTTCCAATACTTTTTCCCTTCACTATTATGCTAAACCCATCCTTTTTCTATTAAGTATATAATTTTAAATGAGCAGTAAAAATATTTAATCCATATCTGTATAAGTTTTATGACTTTAAGTAAAAGGAGTTATTGAAAAAACGCAAACTGAGAAAACGCAGTTTAAAGAATGTAAACTGTCTGAATGTATGAAATTATTTCAAATTTCTTTAAAATTTTATTACTGAATTTCAACATATATATATATATAAAATATAACCTAGTACTGTTTAATTGGTTAATATAAGCATAAATTAGCTTTTGTTTAAAGTTTTATCTGGTCAAAAGTATTGTAAAAAAATCATAAAATGCACGTAAAATTTTTATTTATCTGTTTTTATTTTTTAAAATACGTTCAAAACAATTTTAATGCATGTATTAATTATATTATGTTTTCTGAAACACTTATAATCAATATTAATAATATTAATTTGTAGTTTCATTCGTTTTTTCAAAAAGAAAAATTTTTAAATTGAACAGACATAAAACATTTTATTTAAAACAACTCAAAAACATATGTGATTTCTTCTCTTCTTTCATCCACTTGTTTTCGTATGTAAGTTGCATTTAAAATTAATTCAGATGTATTTTAATTAGTTAAAGATATTAGTTCCAACACTATTTCAATAATGCTACAGTCAGGAACTTGATCACTTTTATTACACCACCTCTTTCTTTTCGCGTCTTATCAAAATAATTTCAATTTTTGAAGAAGCATAGCAAAGTTGACTGATAATACACACAGAAATATTTGCTGAGCTGAATACATAAAATAATATAAACCTAGCTTAAAGGTGAAATTTTTTTTTTTCATTTTCACTTTGTATTTAAATTTATCGGTTTTTACATATAAACAGAGTTTACTGATGATTGCAGTCACATTTAATTACATTCCCCTTCCTTTACACTGATTTTAATAAGTTACTGAAACAATTAAGAAGTAAAAAAAATACACATAATTATACGAGAGGTTGTGGCATTTAAAGGGCTATTAAATTTTAAAAAGCCTTTTTATACCATTTATTATCGTCAGATCATTTCAAAATTTCGCTACAAAATTACGCAAGGGTATTAAGGTACTTTTTTAGTAAAAAATTGAAATAACGGTTCTTTCATCGTTTTGGGGGTACCAAGTTCCCTTAAAATCGATAACAAGAAAATGGTGCAGATAGAAAGGGGACAAAAAGTATAGCAAAATTCTAATAATCCGGTACGCTCTATACTTAAGTTAGGCCGGAATATCAGATTAAATTGTATAATTCGACTTTTTTTTTTTTTTCCTGTTATTGAATGTGTTGAGGAAAGAAAAATTTACAGATAATGATTCTTTAAGCATATTTAAAGTTACTGGGAAATACATTTAATCAAAATTTATTTATATTTAATAACATTAAATATTTATGGATAAATTTTCTTAGCTTTCTCTGTTATCATTCGCCCTGTTACAGCTTCTGTTTTATCATTTTGCGTTTAACTATTTATAAAACACATCGTACAAGCAGATGAAATTAGATTTCTTTTAAAGTATTCCATTCTTTTATAAGGTATTTCTCCCGCCTTCTTAGCATGCCTTCGTAGTGTAGTGGTCAGCAGGCTGGGCGGGTATTCCAGAAGTCCGTGGTTCGACTCCCGGCGAGGGCGTTGCTCATTTTTCATCACTCCTGCTTTCAAAATATACCTAATGTCTCTACACTCTTTTTTTTTTTATTTTGATAAATTATAAAAGTTATATATTTCTCTTTTAATCAGCATTTTCATTTTGGAAACATTTTAACTAACTAAAGATAAAAACAGGGAAATAATATAAAATTGCGAAAATTTAAGCAAAGGACTAGCTTAAAATATTAAAATGCACGCAACAACTGTCGAGCTTTTCCGAATATTACCGAATGAAATGCTACTAGTTCATTCTACAACAGAAATATCGGGGAAAAAAGCGCCGATTATCGAGTGCATCGCACTATTTCATGCAAGATTATCATACTTTTAACTATATTCAAAACCACAGATCCATTTTAAAATGAATTTTTAAATTTATGACTTAGTATCAGATGAAAGTCATGAAATCAGTTAAAGCTCCCCATAAAATCACTGAAAATTATCCTTCACTGAAAATTATCTATTTTATAAAATGAGCAGCTTGATAAGCACCAACTCCAGCTCCCTCTGTATGCTGCTATTATTCAGTAATTTGATAGCTGATTTCTGGCTCTAGCAGGTAATTGCCACAGAGGGCTTATAATACACTCGGGTGCAAATTTTAAAAATTTTGCAAATTACGTCTATTTTTACGAAAAGCATTGCACCAAAGGTGCTAATTATATTGCCGAAGAATTATGCCAGTATTCAGAGTCGAATACGTAAGCATACACCTACGTATCTGCTGAGTCGTTATTGTAGAAAGACCATAAGCGCATAAGGGGTTTTTAGCGATTTGGGAGTTAGTACTCCTTCACAACATTACCCATGTTTCTCACAAGAGTTGGGTATCTACAGAGCTCAATGTTACGTCCAGTAATGTATTGTCTGCAGTTCTTGGAAACAGCTTCAAAACGGAGCGTTTGTATCGTGAAGACTTGGAAAGGATCGCCCAATATCCAAATCGACGAATGAATGTCGTTATCTGGCACTTTCCACGAGATTGCTACTGATTCACAGCTCTGCTCTCATGTGAACTGTGTGCTGACGCTGCAACCCGAGTTACAAGGTATACAGTTGCCCGAAGGTTTTACGAGATATAGCTATATGCCAATATTGCGTCCTGTTCACTGTAACGCGTATGAACACACGTTTAGTACGGTGCAGACAACATGCGCCTTGAAGAAGACTTCAGTGGAGCACCGTGCTTTCTACAGATGAGCCCGGATTCGGCGTACCTGTAACTGGACAAAGCCTGGAGCATGATAACGTCCCTGCCTCATCAGCGAAAGAGATTATTACGGTGTATTAAAGTGCTGGAGGTTTAACGCTTTGAACAAGCATTATGCTCGACATTTCAGAGCAAAGTTGGCACTGGGTTCCTGTTAATCGCCGACAATTCTTGTCCACATAGAGCTCAGCTGGTGGACAAATACCTGGAAAGTAAGAAGGTTCACCATATTTATTGCCCAGCCAGATCTCCTGACCTTAACCCTATACAGAGTGTCTGGGACGCTCTCTGAAGGGCAATTTCTCTCGCCATCCTCCTTCTAGAACTATCTCGGAGTTGAAACTGCTGCAGAAGTGGGATCGACTGCCACACGGACCCCTCAGCTGCCTCCTGTCAAGTATGCAGTGGATTTTGGACAACCCCACACTATGAGCTTTACTGACAATTATGCGCATATAAAACGACTTTTGAATGGTATATCTGTTTCTCTATTATAAATCTATATTCATGCTAAATTTCATTAAAATCTGTTCAGTAATTTTTCAGATATTCGATATAATGCGCAAATTTTCTTAATTTTGCGACACGAGTGTAATAGAATTTGGCCTGAAACGATATTTCTCCTAAGCCACTCGTAATATTTTAAGAGAAAAATCCCAAGACATCACTTGCATTGGGAAAGTGTCAGGTCTTAGAATAGCAACTTGATAGGCAAAAATCATGTCTTATATTTGAGTTAGTTCTTTGGTTAGGCGAAAGATGGCATGCATGCTCATTTCTAGTACTCCTCATCTAGTGAACGATGATACATTATAAAAATTTTGATTTATAAAAAGATGTTTATTTGATGTGCGCGACTTTTCGATCTCTTTGAGTCAACGCGGTAATTACAATTATACTTTAAGGCAGTGGTTCCACCGGCCGCATGCGGCAGGTGAAACTATTTTACAGGGGTTTGAGTTTATTGAGATTACGGCAAAGTCTCGAGGGCTATCTGTCTAAGAGAGGATGCCTTCGTGGAGGACTTTTTAAGGGAAAATGGTTCGTATACGCTTTTCACACGGGCAAAACTACGAAAACACCCACGCAGCCAGCCCGTTCGCGGTATTCGAACCTCGGACCGTTCACCGACTTTACCGCTCGACCGCTTGTGGGCTCAATTTTATGCGAACCGCGAATGCATTTTAATAATGTATTTGTTGCAAAGATTTTAGTTAATTGGAGTCTGAGTTTATATTATTTTTATTATCATTAAAAACAAAGATGAGTATTGCACCAGATTGTCTATAAATGGAGATAAATTACCTACAATGTGATATAAATCTCGTGAAAAGATTTGAATATGCAGATTTGATTCACTTTTATTCTTACAGGGCAAAAGATAAATATGCTCAGTAGCAAATTTTTGCACAAATAATTAATTATAAGGTATTTTCTCCCTCCTTTCTGCAGGCCTTCGTGCTGTAACAGTAGCACACCCGGCGCGTATTCGAGAGGTCCAGGTTCGAGTCCTAGCTAGGGCATTGCTCATTTCTCATGTACTCCTGCTTCAAAATAACCTAATGCTCTACAGAATAATCGCTTTTTGGGAAGGGGGAATTTTTCATAGCTAAAAATTAATAAGAAAAGAACCCAACTAACCGATGAACATCTACAATCCGTGATGAAGATAATTTTAGTAATTTTCCTCCGAGGCTATAAACTTTATTAGAATCGAAACGCCATCAAGCGTACAGACGTAGTATGAAATAGGGAAATTTATAATGATTTACAAACAGGCATACATATTTTTAATTAATGTGTCGAAAATAAATTTAATAGATAAGAGATTAGGTTCTTATTATTTATTTTCAAGTTTTCTCTCGCTTGGGAAGTTTCCTCTGAAAGCATGAAAAAGTCATAATTTGTTTATTTTTTGTTCAAATTTAAGTAAGTTGTTTAATTATTAATTAAACATGTAGATTTACTTGAAATAAATATCAGTCTGAGAATGTAATGTTTAGCTGAATCAAAGTTTTACGAAAAAAAATGTCTCGCAAATACCAAACTTTACATTTCAGATGGAAAACAAATACATATTTTTTAATTTATCTTCTTGGATGCTATTATAATGGTTTCTGTTTGCTTTGAAAAATATTCAGTGTGAGAACTTTTTATTTAAAAAAAAAAAATCTCGCTCGACAGTTGTTTTCAGATCAGGTATTCGACCCGCGTGCAATTTGAGTTTGAGACCATCGCTTTATGATATAAACAACATTTATTAGAAACTAAACTACGAAACATTACGGATTTAAAAAGATCTCGAAATTATATTTCAACAGTTTCTAAAAACTTCATGAACGAAATTCCCACCTACGCCATAAATGCTTTTCCTTGTGTTACGTAAAAAACGATACATACAGTTCTTATTTTCGAATGTGTTTGCTTGGTTGAAAATAATCGCTTCACAGAAGGGAAATTTGCTTTCAAATGATTCCAAATAGTTGGTTTCATTTTCCTACAATTAAATAAATAGAAATGACTCACCTCCGCCATTGTTGTAAGCGATGTTTGGAAACCGCCAGATGTTTCCGAGGCCAACTGACATAGAAAGGCAGAGTAGAAGGCTTTGAATGCCTTTTGACCATTGTCCTCTTTCTGGTGCATCATTTTTGCCATCATTTTCTTTGATGACACTTTTTTCAACATTTAACTGGAAAAATATAAAAACGCGAAACGAAAGTTACAAACATTAAATTCACATGCAGAAGATGTTGACACATTTTTAGAATGATTTCTATCAATGATATTTAAAACGTTTAAATGCCGTAAAATAAAAGTTTCTAACTACAGTGTATAACTTGAAATGGAAATACCGTCTGCTAGTTTGAAATTTATTCTTCTTTCAAAACGTTGCATGCTTTTATGACTTACCTTACTTGTGTTATGTTGATAATAGCATGAATGTTTGGTTATGAAAGAGATCAAGTTAATTAACTTTCTTATTTAAGGAAAATCTTAATTTTTATTTAACTCTTTTAATTATTAATTTAATGTTTTATTATTAAGTTAATATTTGATTATGTAAATTTAAGTACTTTACATTTCAGATGGAAAACAAATACATATTTTTTAATTTCTCTTCTTGGATACTATTATAATGGTTTCTGTTTTCTTTGAAAAATATTCAGTGTGAGAACTTTCTGGAGAAAAACCAATGCTTCAATGATACTTTTATTCTTTTTCTTTTATTTAAATTTTATCAAGATTTCTGTATCCTTGTGAAGGATTAGGGAACGAAAGCGAATTTTCGTTTAGTCATTCTCTAAGGGTGGCGTTACTTCCGTAGAACCTTCTAGAAAGAAATTGCTTTGTTTCGGTTGCCCTTTAGGACAGGCAGTACGTGACGCAAGGTCAGAGGAGTCTGACGCAAGGTCAGAGGAGTTCACCTACAGAGTAGGTCTTTTGCTTGGCGATTTAAGTGTCCGTTTTTTGGCGGCCTTTAAGTAAGTGGCGCATGTGCAATTAGAGTTATCTGGTTTTTTAGGGTGAAAAGCGGAAATTTGGCCTCTCCTGAAAGGGGCCAAATTTCCGCTACGCGGAAATTTGTTTTTGCGCTAGCCTGGGTTTTTGAAAGAAGTGAAGGAGGATTTTCGGTTATAGACCACTTTTTGCTCGTGTCGTGGTAAGTGTTGGTTGCCGAGGAGTGAGCCGCGAAGGCAAAAGGGGGAAGCTACACTTTATGCTCCGGACCTTGTTGCATTTACATTAATTTCGGAAAAATAAAGGTTCTCGTTGGATAGCATAAAATTGCTATTGCTCCCAAACTAGTAATCCTATCTGCACTAAGGATGGTTTCGCTTTTCTTCCTCGTGTTTCCTAACTCTTTTGATGAGTGCTCGCATGGCCGACCGATTAAGCCTAGCGATTCGTGACCAGTTAAGCGTTCATACCTATTTACCTTGTACTATGAAGAAAGCTGTCTTTAGAATGGAAGCTGTGATCTCAAGGAACGTACCTCGATTGGCATGCTGCTTTTTATCATCAATTAGTGGGTTTCACGTATTGGATATAGGACTTCTGGCCTAATCTTGCTAATTGCTTTGTCATCGTGTTGTCGCTAATGTTGATCCTCGCCTGCATAATGGTTCGAATCCTCAAGTTCTGCATAATGCTTCGAATCCTCAAGTTCGGAAGCACTGACTTTTCTTCGTCGGGTCCTGCAACCGGGAGCCTAATGAATCGTTGCAGCTGAAGAGTCTTTATTCCTTGGCGGACGCTTGCTTCATATCTCGGATGGAACCTCGGCACCGCATTCAATAAACAGGCAAGTCGCTCTAATTTATTCTTCCCACAATTAAGTAAAGGTTTTTGGTGTATTTAATTATGGCAAAGCACACTAAGGATATCTGCCTAAGAGGAGGGATGCCTTCGTGGAGGACTTTCTAAGGGAAACTGGCTCGTATACACGTTACACATGGGGAAAACCACGAAAACGCCCATGCAGCCAGCCCGTTCGCGGGATTCGAACCTCGGACCGAACTACCAGTGTTCAGCGACTTTACCGCTCGGCCGTTGGTGGGCTCAATTAAGTAAAGGACTGTTGATATTAACTGGCTTTAGGCACTAAAGTAACCTTATCGAAGGAATTTATCTAATTGAACTCTAAGGTAATTTTCTTGAAAATTCGGTTGTTTTCTTTCCTTGGTTCTATTGGAGACTTAATTTTTGGCTGAAGACCTAATAATTAATAATTAAAAATGTAAAATTTCTCTGAATTAATTGTTCGTCCTACTATTAATGCATACTTAACACCTGAAGGTGAAAAAAAAAAAGGTAATAACCTATCTTCTGTTTTATAGCTTGTTTGAACAGTGTTAAATATGTCATATATGTAATCTTATACGAAAATTATGAATTACATTAATATTCAAAATTTACTGGGTAGTTGATAACTATGTAAATTATGATAAAAAGACGATTGTGTGAGAATTCCTTTTAGACCTGAGAATAATTAATAAACAAGAATTAAGGTTGCAAATTTATGTCATGTTTTTTTATTTGTGAATTACATTTATATTGTTGTCTGATCCTTAACTAGCCCGGTTCCGGATGTATGAAAACATAACGCATTGACTCCCATTAATTATGATAACGCAAATGTTGAAATAACTAGTTTTATGAGTTTATTTCGGGTTTTGCTAGTTTAGTTAGCATAAGGTTTAATGAGTTACTTAACTTATTCACGGCTTCATCAAATAATACTGTAAACACCAAAAACTCACAATATTACACTTGTCTAACAGTAACATCAAATCAAATTGTAATCTCGTTCTCTTTTGTAGCATAAACTATGAAAACTCTAGTAAAAGAAGTAAGCGACTTATCACTACGTCTTGGAAAGTAAAATAGAGAGTGCGAAAGACTATTTTACTTAGTTAAAAATCAACAGAATGCTGCGCTCGTACTTACAGAACCAGCCGAAACTTAGATCGTAAATCAGAAGTAACGAATTTGAACTTAACTAAGTAAATCGTAAGTTATCCTAAAAAGGCTTCACAGACAAAATACGCGCATGTTGGATCAAAAGCTTAATGTCGGTGTGACAAGCTTAATAACGCAACGCAACAGATAAACTGCTCTCAGGCGAATCAATTAACAAATGTGACCTTCAGCAGGCAGAACACGCTCTGACTTAATTCTCTAAAACCATCCTTTAAATACCACATCTTTCTACATCATTTGAATACGCGCGAATTAGAAAATTAGAATTCTGGCAGGAAAATGGAAAGCGAGAAAGACAAACACCTAAATAATATAAAATAACTGATTAATAAAAAATAAAATTCTACAAATTTTATTTTAAATAATTAAATTTTATCGCTCCCAAGAGGCGAGGGTTACATCTATCGTTGACTGATAGATGACTTCACTCAACTACGTCCCAGTTCTTAAGAAGAATCCATCTGGGTAAATTCTAGGGCCTCTTAACTTTCCAAAAACCTCTCGAGAGGACTTTCGGCTCAACGTTTCCCCACGCCGCAAAGGCACAATGCATCTATGACTTCTTCAGGATTCGAGTGCGGTCGAAGCTGTAGCAGCTGTCTTCCCTACCATCATGTAACAAGCAATGAATTGAAGATATATATTCTTATGACTAAATTCAAACACACTGTGAAACGCATGATATTAAAATTTCGAAGTGCAAAATAAGCAACATTACTAATCGGCAGTTATTACTTTTATACAGAAAGTAGACTTCCAACGAATACCCATAAATGATACGTACTATTTCTAAGGTTTCTAAAGTGAAGTAAGTCGATGCAAAAATCTGTTGCACATTCAGTACATTGTAATGAAGTTTTTTTAAGAAATTTCACCGTTTTGATTGAACACCAAAACCACACATCAGTTTTTATGCAAGTTTGTTATTCAACCTTGCATAAAAACTGAACATATTTCAAGTGCGTGCATCTTCGAGCAAGGATATTTTAAGCACGAGGTTTTTTTACATATCTTACTGGGTATTATACAAGTAGCATAGCAACGCAAAGACGTTACATCTGTTGTACTTGGAAAGACCATTTCTAACTTCTACCATGACTAATGAACTCTAGTAAGTGGTTGAAAAGGGTGCCTACCAGGAAGTTCTTGGTGAAATGATTGAATCATATGCTGACCGGTCCGTGGAATTCGTTTGCCTTTGACGGGCGTTGTTTCTCTGTAAGTCAGAAAGCCCCAGCAATACCTAATATTCCCACATCTTCACAGGTGCCGGCCTTGCTTCCACGGGTACCTGTTGAAAGTAGGTTCCGCCCAGTTCCTTTAGTAATTCTGGTTGGCCATACTACTGGGCCCGGGTTGAAATCTTGGAGAAGGCATGGATGTTTGTGGGCATATATTATCTATGAGGTAAGCGGGCATTCAAAATACACAGCAAACCGGAAGTCCTCTCGAGAATTTAGCATTAGGACGAAGAGGGATGGTAGATCCTCGGACCGCTTCCCTGGGTGTTCTTCCTCAAAAGTGGAACGGAAACTTAACGGTTAGCTTGGTTCAGCAATACAATTGAAAGAGAAAAATAACACTCTTGGAAATCTTACGAAAAGGCTTTTCATCAGGGGAATTACGAAGTAGCTTTATAATCCCGTAAAATGTCCATCAGGTGGAATATTTAAATAATTAGTATTTATAATTTAAACATTAAATAAATGATCTCGAAATTATTTTAGAAATATGTCAATATCCTTAATACTTTATAGACATTTGAAATTCTATAGATTAAGGCAAAAAGCAAGATGTAGATAAACAACATTTGATATACATACTTGGGAAATGGATATCCGAGGCACTGCGAAACTGTCTCTTTCCTTGTCAAGATCATAGGAGCTAGATTTAAAGCTGCCATTAAATGCCTAAATAAAAAAATCAGAAGATATTATGAATGACTAATGCAATCTTTTTAATAATTTTGCTAAAAATACGCGTAATAATGGACACTACTTCAGAGTGAAACCTGTTTTGTTATATCTCTCATTTTTTAGTTGCTTTTTTATCATATACCAAAAACATAATTCTCTTTATTATCATATCATTTTAATATATTCATATTAAGCGTTTAAATAAATCTAATAAATGGTTTCTATAATTATAGATGAGTGAGAGTATGTTTGCGTTAAATTACGTAAATGGAAGCATATTTGAAAAGTTTATTTTAATTCGCATGGTAATTTAATTCGCTTAATTTAAAATCTTTCCTGTACTTCAACTGCTTCGTCTATACCAGTGATTTTAAACCTGTATTTCATGTTAGCCAGATGCATGATCTGAAAGCAACTGGCGGACCGGAACACTTTTTTTAAAAGACTTAAATTTTTTTTTTTAAAATTAACGAAACAAAAAATTTCAACTAAATTTTAAAATTTACTTATTAAATATTTATTAAAATGTACATAAATGATACTAACAATACAAAGGAAAATTTTCAATTTATATTTATTTTCTATCTGAAGTCTAACGATTTATTTATTTTCTATCTGAAGTCTAACGATTTGTGCCTGTAAAAAATTTCTACTAGTTATACTTTGTAAATCAGATGTAGTGGCAGCTAAATATCAAATTTTACACTGATATTTATTACAGCTAATTCCAGTATTTTGAATTAACCATCAAATAACTTATTTTTAACCTTAACCGGCAACCTGGAAATTTTAGCATAATGAAGCACCAACAACTGTCGGCTAGCAAACTAAATTTACTGACTGTACCAACATATGAAATTTTCAAACATTACCCTCGTCACATGGCCTGGCGTATCAGCATACACTTACAGAGCCTCAATCTATTTTTTCTATCTTTTTCCCCCTTCAGTAGCAGTCGCGTATATATATCTTTAAAACTATATACAAGGTGTACCGTAAATGTTGCGACAAACTTGTAAGGGAGGTAGGGCACATCATAACGATTAAGAATTGCGAAGGAACCTATACCCGGAGATGTCAGTGGTAAGTGATAGCAGAGGTAGAAGATGAGGAAAGAAGCAACAGTGATTCATTTGAAAACATTTATTGGACATGAATACAAATGGTGTACGACAGCTTGAATGTTACAACAGATGCTCGAAGTTTTCACCCTCAGACGCCAAACGAGACTGACACCGACGGACCATTCATTGCCGGACATGTTCAAACACACTAAGAGTTTCTTTGATTGTAGCAGCTGCGCAGGCGAGTCTTGCCACGAGATCTATTTCAGACACAACAGTATCGTGATCCACGACACTTTTGATGGCTTCCCACAAAAAGAAATCAAGGCTTGATAAATCCGGTGAGGGTGGGGGGGGCCAGGGATCTGGTCCACCTCGCCCAATCCATCGACGCCGGAATGATCTGTTCAAATGGCTACGAACATCCAGTCCAAAATGGGCAGTCGCTAGCATGTTGGAATTCAGCAGTTCCCATCATGTTCGAATCACATGTTGCGCCTCACATTTGGTGAAACATCGTCAAGCAAATCGGGAAGAACCTGCTCCATAAAGATCAAATAATTTGCGGCATTCAAATGGTCCGTCTATGTCAAGCATGTTTGGCGTCTGATGGTACAAACTTCGAGCATCTTTTATAACATTGAAGCTGTCGTACGCCATTTGTATTCATGTCCAATAAATGTTTCAAATTAACCACTCTTGCTTCTTTTCCCATTGTCTACCTCTGTTACCACTTCTCTGACATTGCCGGGTATAGGTTCCTATGCAATTGTTAATCCTTATGATGTGTGTTTTAAACAAAAAACAGGATCTAATTCTAAGAGAAATAGCTGGCAAACTCAGCCCATACTGTTGTTGTCCATCTTTAATGTTGTTAATTCTGTAACTTTACTTGAAGTTCAAATAAATCCGTTAATTAATTCACATCAATGTAATTAGTCACTGTTTTAGTACTGAAAGATAAAACAGGATGATAACTCGAAAGGCAGTTCGGAAAATTACATATGTGTTTAGGGTAAGTCAAAGTGAAACTTTGCATATCTGTATTATAATAATAAAAATGTACTAGAAAACAAACGCCTATATTTGTCCTAGAATATGCGTCTGTATTCCTTCTATAGATAATAAGCTCCTGTATTTTCTCCCAAACACTGGAGCATGTTCTCTAGAAAAATTATCTCAAACGTACCAAATTAAGAAGTGCGGTGTTGTTTTGCTTTTTAAGCACAATTTCTTTCTCTTTCCCAGCGGCATATTGCATTTTTGCATAAAATGAAATTTATCTAGGTGAGGAATAAATGTTAAAAAAAAAATTGAATTAAAAAGAATGATCATAAATTAGTAGAATCTCGAGCAATTTTTTAACAATTTTTTTTTTTAAATTTCACGATTAACTGCAGTTGCCAGCGCTTAACAAATCCAAGCACATCTTGTAATAAAATTGCGGATTAACGTAAATAAAAACTCGATGAATTCCGTATAAATGATATTATAAGGAAAACCCTCTAAGTATTAAGATTAGGAGTACATCATTGGGTGAAACAGTTTCCAGGAATATTAAACACAGTTCATAAACGAACTTTTGCGTTACGCTTGCAGGCAATCTGGTCATGAGTTAAAATTCTTCGAAAGTTCTTTTATATGTTTTTGTTGCATTTGCGCTTAATTGAAATCCATTGCTGATTTGAAGGATATTTTTTTTCATCGTTTAATGTTGTCAAAACAACAGTGAAAAAGCGTGATGAAATTAAGTAATTGTAATTCATTTGAAGTAAACTACTATAATTAGTTTTAACGTTTATGTATATTTGTAAAAGCACCAGAAATCTATACTATTAAAATCTATGCCCGTTTGTCTGTTTGTGGCATATTAGCTCCCAGAACGGAGGGGAGTTAAATTTTGAGAGAGGTACCTTCGGATTCCAAAAATTCGTGGTAAGCCATTTCGACCATTCTTATCTTCGTACCACTTTAATCAACTTAGAAATTTATTAAAAACTCTGAAAACGCTAATTTTCTCTCTCGTTTATCCGAGTGGCAACAATGCCGCACCTGGAAATAAAAATCTGCTTTATTTCGAGAAGTGTTACCACTGTTCGCTTTCAAATCGTAGAGTTTGTTAATCAAACATTTGTAAGTTTTACAAAATATGAAATAAAAAGTAACATTGCCAAACATTAAACTTATTATTACATAAAGCCATATTCTGACGTTAAAGAAAGCATGTGATTGCATGTGACATCACTGTCTGTCGAAAATTGCTCGTTAATGTCAGCATTCTAAATAAATAGGTGCTGTTGGAAACTTTTTTGTTTCAGGCTGGTATAATTGACACGATATATTATTGCCACATTAATTTTTTATTGATATTCAGAAAATGTTGTTATATTACATTAAATTTAAATCATGACGTCATACGTTTTAACCTGAAGTGTCAGAAGTTTTTGTTTCCTGGTTTGGCAATAAAAAAATTACTTATGATTTGGTTATTCCTTGGAAAGAATGCACTGATTTTATTCTTATTGAAATTTTTTATACATTTTTTTTGGGGGGGGTACATAAAAGTTTCCTTGGCTGCAGCCCGCTAGTTATATTTAAAAAGAGAGTAATTCTCATGAATATAGTTAGTTATATTTAAAAAGAATCTAGTTATATTTAAAAAGAAAGTAATTCTCAGTAATTACCATGAGAAAATTCTATTTAATATAGATAGCGAAGAAAATCATTAGTCACCTGTTTTTATATATTTCTTAATAAAGAAGACAAAAAAGGAGATTAATTCTTTAAAAAAAATCTGTTCATTCGCTGCTTGAATTTAAAATTAAGCTATAAATATGCCTCTGTTACGCATCAACATGCGTTTAAGGTAAAATAATAGGTCAATTAACCACTGCTGTTTGTTTTCACGTGCGGCCAATTATGTAATACTGTGTTTTTGACCTACTTAATTGCGATTAAAGTTCAATGTTTTCCTTCACCTTTACGAAACCGCAAGAAGTTGAAAAACGAGTCACGTCATTCTGCTGTCTGGTCACATTGAGAGATACTTTTCTGTACAATTTCTTTTCGTTTTTCGTTTTTCGTTCTATTACTGTCTATTTAGAGGGAAGATATAGACAAAGAAAAATGAAAGAATTCTGTACAATTTCTTTCGGCTCCATTTTCCTTTACACACTTTCAGCTTCCCTCTTAAGCAGTTCACACGTATACTTTCCTTGTTAACTTCTTTACCGTCTTTATTAGAAATTTAATATCTTCGAACTGATTAATTTATTTCTAGTAATCCTTAAGAAAATATTTGGAAATTTACTGAATTTTTAGTCCTCTAAAGGTAGGGTTTATATTTGTTGCAACTCGAAAGGCTCTGATTTATTTCCAGTAATCCTTAAGAAATATTTGGAAATTTATTTGAATTTTGAGCCGTCAAAAGGCAGGAACTATAGTTGTTACAACTTGAAAGTTTAAAACTCCGTGCTTTAGTAAAATAAAAATGTGTTGGTAATCAATTAGGCATAAAATCTCTCACTTGTGTCCCGTGTAATAAATCAGCCTCGCTATCAGCAATAAAAAATGAATCATTTAAAAACTATCTGTACATCTTAACGATAATACAAATCTTTTAGACACATTTAAAAAATATATATAAAAATTTGGTTCCGTATAGGGTGGCAATGCGCCAGAAGAAGACGCAATGCGACCGCTTCATAACCGCAAGTTCCCAGAATAAAGATGCCTAGATATTTATGTAATTTGGCCACAGCTTGACCTACGTAGGAGTCTCAGGCACTTTAAGCTGGGTACAGCTATGCAAGTAGAGTTTTAATTTTCCATTCTAATTTATAAGAGATATAAAGACCTGCTACACCTTCATAAAGGATGTTGTTTTCAAGTTAGGAACTGATTCGTAAAAGCCTGAAGGCACCTCAAGTA